AAGCCTTTGCCTTTGTTTATTATATTGTCATTATGCTAATTTTAATTTCGAACCCAACTGATTGGCAGTCGCGCAGAGAGAGTGGAGTGCATATATGTAGTAATATAGTATGTTGTGCTGGCAAGTGAATGGCAGTGAGATATATCGGCCGGAGTTGGCGCCGTGACGTTAATGTCGATGTCATGTACTGCCTCTCGGTTCGGCTGCATTTGACATTTCGCACATGGCTTTCTTGTGATTACAGCTCTTACTCTTGCGAGCGCCTGTTTACCTTTCAATAAAAATGTTGAATAATCAACGGCAGCAGCAGAAAGCATCACAAGCAGCAGCAGCGCGATACGCGCTCTGAAAGGTTCATTTCATTTCGTTTCGACTCGATTCATTTCAGCTAAGAAGAAAGCGTAATGCGAATTTTTCGGATTTCGGTTTGACTTGATTTGCGTGATGTGCATGCGGAGCAGCGGCGGCGACAGGTTCGATTATATAATCCCGCAAATGTTATGGTATTTTAAGCACTAAACAAATAAGAGGCGTGCTTGCACTTAGCCATGCTTCCAAATGCCTTCCAAAAGTTCAGACCCAGTCAAAATGGAAGGGCGAAAGGCAGAAACGAGCAGGCGAAGCCCGGCCAGAAGGCACCATCTCGACCCAGTCGTGAGAGCCAACAGCGGGGGAAAAGAATTTGCTGTGGCCATTCCCAACTGATATTGTTCAATCCGAGCAGCCGACGATCCCACTGCTGACAGCTGCTGAACAAATGACTTCTGAATGCATGAGTGAGTTAGCTGTCAAGTCCACACATTCAAGAAAAATTCTCAAAATTGGGAATCTGAATTTCCAGTAGGTTATTCTTTGGGAAGCCTCATACATCGATCTCGGTCTTTTGCAAAACATTAATAAATTAAACTTTGGAAACGTATGTATTTTAAAACAAGAGAGAACGCTATAGTCGGGTGCCCCGACTATGAGATACCCGTTAATCAGCTAAAGGGAGTGCGAGGGAGGTGGAGATATAAAACTTTGATCGGGCATAACTTTTTAACGAATGGTCAGATTTGAAAAATGTCTTCTCCGAAATCTTTAAAAATGTGAGCGCCAGACACGTTTTATAATCGTTTGTGGGCGATTGTGGGCGTTTGAGGAAGCGTGGCACTCGGCTGAAAAACACTTGCGCTACGTAGGAAGCCCAAGAATATGAGTGGGTAATCCCAACTTTCTGGCTTTTGTATTTCCCTAGATCTCAGCGTTCATACGGGCGGACGCACTGACGGACATGGCTAGATCGACTCGGCTAGTGACCCTGTCTGACCCTGACAGACAGACAGACAGAAGGGCAGACGGACAGGCAGACAGGGCCATAACGACTCGGCTAGTGACCCTGATCAATATATAGTAGGGGAGAGATCTGTAGGTTGGTACACCTTTTGTTTTTAATCTGCCATTTCGACATTCACTTATAAATCTTTACGCATTTGGTACTGATCGAAAGGTTAGTCTATTAGCTTAATAAAAAACAAAAAAAAAATATTTTTTTTCCGTAGGGAAAACTGAAAAATTATTTTTTTTGAAAACTCCCACGACATTTTGAAAAAGAGGTCTGTTAGTTGAGACACTTTTTAAAGTCAATAATACTCACACAAAAAGTACTTTAAACTTTAAGGAACTATTTATTTATGTTAATTTAATCAATTTTAGTTCGTCCTAAATCATTTCCCATCCATTTTTTAAGAACTTAGACCAAATAACAATTGAAATCAAAAGGCTCTTTGAACATTCACTTTTCCCCTAATATCAAAGAAATGTACTAGGCAGAAAGCGACCCCTGTTGGCCTAAGGCCTTTTTGTATGAAAAAAGGGTGTCTCAACTTACACGCTCAAAGTGTCTCAACTTACACAAAATGGGATGTTTCGGGAAAAAATTAACAACTTTTGTTCTGACTGTCACATTAAGCTGATTATTTTTTTAATTAGTTACCAGTTAATATACTAATGTTTTAAATCTCTTATCAAGTTAATTTAAGGACGTTATTAATTTTAAATGGAATTTTAAAAAAAGTAGACAAAAACTTTTTTGTGGGAAAATGGTACACGACTCTCACAGCTTTAATCTGGCTAGAGCCTGGCTTATAATGTTTTCCCAAAAAGTTTTGTCACTAAAAAAGACTACAAAAAAAAAATAAAAACAATTTTTTTAGTGGATAAGTTTTGAGGAAATTGAGTGTCTCAACTTACAGACCGTCTCAACCTACAGACCTCTCCCCTATATTATAGTTAAGTTTACAAAACAGAAATCTAACATGGTTCTTATAGTACTAGCTGTGAGGGCCATCGACTATAAAAGTATTAAAATAATTTAACAGAACAGAAACATCTAACTTATAAACAAGAGAGAACGCTATAGTCGGGTTGTTGTCCCGACTATCTAATACCCGTCACTCGGCTAAAGGGAGTGCGAGGCAGATGGATATATACCATTTTTTGATTGCGTATAACTTTTTATTGAATGGTCCGATTTGAAAAATGTCTTTTACATTTCGATAGGTATAATTATACACAAAAAAATTGCATTTATACTTCTCGGAAATCTTAAAAGGTGTGGGTGCCAGACGTTAGCTCAGTTGAAATAAACTTGCGCTGCGTAGGAAGCCCAAGAATATGTGTGGAAAATCTCAACCTTCTAGCTTTTGTAGTTTCCGAGATCTCAGCGTTCATACGGACGGACAGACGGACGGACAGACGGACATGGCTATATCGACTCGGCTAGTGACCCTGATCAAGAATATATATACTTTATAGGGTCGGAAACGCTTCCTTCCTTCCTTCCTTTTGCACGAATACAATATACCCTTTTACTCTACGAGTAACGGGTATAAAAACCTTGGTCATAACAAACCTAATTCTTAAAGAGTTTTAGCCACAGTGTTTAGGCCGTGCGTGTCACACAATCTAGGCAAAAAGAGAAAATCTAAACCCATCGAAAAAAGGGAAGGCCAGAACATAGCACTCGAAATCAAAATTAAAATTTCCAGCTACCCAAATCCGGAAAATAGGCAAAACGTGCTGGGCATAAGTGAAAATTTCCAGCCGCAGAAAACTAAATGCCGCCATCACCATATTTAAGAAGCCGGGCCTGCAAAAGTCACTTGACACATTGTTGCCGTTCCCGTTGTTGCTGTTGCTTTTCCTATGTTTGCTTATGATGTTGCTGCCGTAGCTGCAACTGTTGTTGCTGCTGTGCCTGGTGTTGCCAGTAGTCAATAAACTAAAACTGGTAGCATGAATCGCCGGTTGTGAGTTTGGGGCTGGCTAGCTCGCTGGATTTCGATGGCTCCGCCATTAGCAATCGCAATGTGTGGAAAAAGGTCAGCGGGCCAAAGCATCGATGGCTCGACTGGGATGCGATTTCGATTGGGTTTTGGCTTTGAGTTTTCAGTTCCAGTTCATATGGGATTGCGGCGAAGAGTATGGCTGCAATTTTATTGTCGGTCTGTGTGTGCAATGACAGTTTTTCCACTCGACCAAAAGTTCAACGCACCTCGGGGGAAGCTTGTATGCACAGAAAAAGATTTATGCTTTTCCTTTAGGTCAAAGTATTACAAAATTACGATTCCCGTTAAACTAAGAGCTTGTCAGATCTTCAAAAATCATGTGTGTTACAATTAAATCACACAAAACATTAATTCCAAACATAATTCCATTGGTCAAAAAAATATTAAAAAAAAGGGAACAAAAAATAAACTCGTTAAAAAAAGGGACTTTCTTTTATGAAATGCCTGGTTGCGATTTAGTTTTGTTAGCTTGTGATACGACTGACTTTGGAATATTTGACTTGCTCTTGATTTAATGCTTTTAATGAAGGTCTAATAAGACCCATTTACAAATCTGTTGTTTTAGGTACAATTAAGATAAAAAAACTACAACACACTATTACCTACAGTAATTTTTGGATAGATTTTTTTCCCATAAGTTGTTTGATATTCAAAGGTCGTGTTTTTCTTCCTGTGCATGTGTCTGAGCTGTTGCTCCAGCTGTCAATTAATGGCAAATGTCAGGGGCTGGCTTTGAAGCATTAATCATAATTAGTTATGCCACACGCCGGCAACAACAACAATGGCTATTGATATGTAAACTGTAAACAATTAGAGCTGATTTGAAAAATGTTAACTAGAGTTGAGTGTTGTGTTGGGTTCAAGTGGCAGCTGGTCTGTCGAAAGTCGTGCTCGGCAATTAGCCGCATTTAAGCGTAGGGATTGCCATTGCCGTTGCCATGCAACTACGTAATGCCAACTTGGTGCACATAACCGGCTGTCTGGGATTTTGGCCAGAGATCTGGAGCGATTCGCTCCAAGAGGAGACAATGGGCGCGGGCACAAAGGTGATCTGTGCGTCAAGTTCGTGGGCGGAGGTTTATGCGTATCTTGGCTCAGCCCTTCGGGAAGTTATCTAATCCAATTAGGAGCTGTCGGCATTACGTAAACGGCGTAAAGGGAGTAAGCCAGCTATTTGACACACAATTCACCGCTTGCCGACCATTGTTTTCGATTAAGTTTTGAGCAGCAACTGACAAAAATTCGTTATTAAATTGCACTGCAATGGACAGCGCAAAGCAAACATTTTGAACAATTATAAAACTTGTTTTACGCTTGACAAAACTACAAACAGCGGAGTGCAGCCAGCGTTTTGCCATCAAATGCGGCGTAGCTGTCAAGTGCAGTTTTTCCCCTTTTTCGGTTCCGGCTCCCATTTTTCCACATCCATTTCACTCAAACAATTGTTTTGTCATCGGCGGCAGATGCACATGTATTTTATTATTTTATTTAAACATCGTTTGGTGGCAGGCATAAATGCGATTTAAGTTTTTTACTTATTTTGGTAATCTACTTATTGCTCACCTTTCGACAAATGTTTTTATTTTCAATTAAGAGCATTTATCATCAGTTGGCCCGATCATTTGCTTTCAAGAGTTTGTGTTACATTTGTGTTTCTGAAACTATAACAACATGTCTTTGCATTCGGAAGAGCTTGGAAGTCTTTTTGCCGTGATTGGCGATGAGGTGGGAGGCTTGTAGTAGTATGACCAAATCAGATATATCAGCAACCTAATTTTTAAGGACACGTGTGTTGGCTTTTTGCTTGGTGGCATTGGGCAAGTCGACGAGGATCGTGAGACCAATTTCATGGTCGTGAAAAAGGGTAATTTTTGACTTTGTTTCGCACTAATACATACAAATCTGGAATCCAAATACAGATATGAATTATTGAGAAATGTTGTATTCAAAAGTATTTTGAAGTTTGATTTAAAAAAATGTTTCCCCTGTTATAAGATTATTATACCCGTTACTCGTAAAGTAAAAGAGTATATTGTATTCCTGCTAAAGTATGTAACAGCTAGAAGGAAGCGTTTCCGACCACATAAAGTATATATATTCTTGATCAGCCTTAATAGCCGAGTCCATCTATCCATGTCCGTCTGTCAGCCCGTCCGTCTGTCCGTTTCTACACTCATAAAAAAAAATCGAAGAATTTCCTTAAAATCTAGAAAATTCTTTCTTGAATTTTTGCCAAAGGCGACCTCCCCTTTGTTTCAAGAAATGGTTTTTTTGAAAGGCACCATTAAAACAAGAAAAAATATTTCTTGTTTTAAGAAATTAAATTTCTTAAAACATGAAAGGGTTTTTTAGAAAGCCACTATAAAAACAAGAAAAAATATTTCTTAAAACAAGAAAGGCGATTCTTGTTTTAAAGGTGGTTTGTTTCTTGTTTCAAGAAATTAAATTTCTTAAAACAAGAAAGGGTTTTTTAGAAAGGCACCTTTTAAACAAGAAAAATTCTTTCTTGTTTAAATTTCCTTTCAAGAAATTTTATTTCTTGATTTAAGAAATAATATTTCTTGAAAGGAAGTTTTATATTAACACTGAAACCCTAAAAATAAAATGTAACTTGGTTTTTTCTTTTGCATATTATATTTATTTACATTTAAAACATTTAACACTTAACATTTAAACATTTTTAAATAACACATTTTTGACTCAAGAAAACATTGTTATTACCCAAGGTCTGTTGAACTCCATATGACCTAAGGTGATCCATTTTCTTCGCCTTTCCTCATCTAGAAAAAAAGAGTTATTGGGATATCAATGATTTGTTTTTAGATAAACAACTTTTTTGAAATAATGTAATGTTAATAATAGCCAAAATACAAACACGTTGGACAGACGACCGAGAGAGAGAGGAGCAAGACAGGTAGAAAATGAAGGGTTGAAAATCGAATTTCAGAGAGAGAGAGGCACGGGAGAGACACGTACATACATACATATATATTTACATACAGTCCTTTGCGCGAAGGGAGGCCGAATGTAAGCAGGGCAGATCGTGTCAGTTTTAAGAAAGTGAAGAGCGAAACGTCGCGACGCGTAGGTCAAGCGAGCGAGAGAGAGGAGCAGAATATGAAAGGGTTGAAAATCGGGTTTCAGATCGGGTGAGCCGCGTACATGCATAGATATTTACATGCATACATAAGTATGTCAAACAAATACAACATATTTTTCTTACCTTAGGTTTTAAAACAAAATTACAGCTTCGACAAACAAATTATTTGGCTGATGCAACTGCAGGTATTTTCACTCTGAAAAATAAATAAAATGCGAGTAATAAGATAAAGTTATTATAGAACTGTACACCCACAAATTTATGTACAAATGTATGTATGTACGTAGCTCTTAGCTAAAAAACAATTCACCTAAATTGGTATACGCTTGGTAAAGAGATTTGAAATGTATCCTTTAATTACATACATACAATTGTACGCCCGCTATACAAAAAATTATATACATATTTACATACCTTTGAATATTCGGAAAAAGGCTTCCGCTTGAAAATCACGTCCATCACTCACGAATTTTTTTCACAACTGACGCTCGGGGGATCAGAGAAGTCGGTAGCCGGGTAGTAGTCGGGCCGAGTAGGCCCTTCGTCCCACTTCGTTTTTCTTGTCGTTAACATTCGGCAGCCGAAGGAAGTCAATGGCTACTTTCCTATATTCTAGGGTCATTTCATTCATATATTCAAAGGTGATTTTGTCCTTAAATACGTACAAAAATGTGTTGGCTGCGACGGCAAAACAAACATATGAGATTTTCATTTTTCTATTTTTAAGAAAAATTCTTTCTTGAATTTTTTCCAACAAGAAAGGTTTTCTGTATTCAAAGGACAATTTTCTAATAACAAGAAATTTTTTTTCTATTTTCAAAGTTAGGCCGATTCAATGGCGAGATTTCCAAAATTTAGAAATTAATTTTTATGAGTGTATGCGAACTAGTCTCTCAATTTTAAAGCTATCGCGATGAAACTTTCCCAAAAGTCTTCTTTCTGTTGCAGGTAGTACGTATGACGGAGCGAGCCGGATCGGACCACTATATCTTAAGGCTCCCATTGTAACTTTGTAGTAGGGTTGGTAAAAAAAATCGATAGCACTATCGATACTATCGATGGCTTAAATATTTAGGAAACATGGATGGTTTGAACCCACAATCGATACTATCGATCCAAAAAAATAATTGAACTTTACATGCAACTTTTGGTATATTTTAAGGAAAAAAAATATTTTAAAGTATATACTTAAGAATACGACCGTATTTTAATTATTAAGGCTCAACATCGAATTTTGTTTCACTTTAAACGGTGTAAAAGTTAGACCGTTTCTTTCCCCCTAATGTTTATGAGTCAACCACACATTTTCCATAATTTGTTTTTCATAATGTTCCTTTATTTAAACAATTTGTTTATTTTATTTTAATTGCTGATACTATCGATAGTATCGATAGTGACCACCATCAATTGCCAAAACCATAGATGGTGTCCACTATCGATTTTTTAACAACCCTACTTTGTAGGAAGTAGGCGTTTTGATTTTTGACAACTTAAAAACAATATTTTAAATAGGCACGCAGAATCTGGAATCCATTAAATTGCACCGATAGCGTGAGCATTTTACTAAAGGTATGCACTTTCTCTGCAAGGGTTTATAAGCTTCGGTGGCCGAAGCTAGCTTCCATTCTTGTTTTTTTTATTTTTTATTTTTATAGGGGAGTGTAGGGTAAGGTGACGAACGATTCGTTTTTTGAATGTAACTTTTGTAAAAATCAATATTATTTAAAAGTGTAAACGCAGAAAGTTGCTTACATCTACTGAGCATATCCCTGTAAAATTCGAAATTCGAAATTCCAATGCAGCTAAATCCCGCAGCGTTTGGCGTGAACCCTACTTTTTTTGCACTTTCAAAAGTTGTAGGGTAATGTGACGAACGATTTGTTTTTTAATGTAACTTCTCCAAAAATCAATATTTTTTAAAAGTGTAAAAGCAGAAAGTTGCTTACATTTTCTGAGCATATTTCTAAAAAAATTTGGATTCGAAATTTCAACGTAGCCAAATCCCACAGCGTTTGGTGTAAACCATCCTTTTTACAAAAAAAAAATTAATTTTTTTATATATTATTTACGGAAAGGGTTTTTTCGATACGGAAAAGAAAAAAAGTAATAAAATAATACCCAAACTTACAAAAAAAAAATGGTCAAAAAAATTTTTTTTTTTATTAAATTAAACTGACGTCACTATTAAAAACAACAATAAAACTGCAGCAGTAAATGTTCTCTGGTATTATTATATTTTTTTTACAAATAATCAACGATAACAGTTAAAATTCTTGAATAAAAAAAGTTCGTCACAATACCCTACAAAAAGTTCGTCACGATACCCTACAAGGTAGACTTGGAGCAAAAACGGTGTCACTCTCAAACGGCGCAAAGAAAAAAAACGCGAGGTACCAAAAACTGTTGATAAAGATCTCATGTATACGTGCATATATTTGCCTGATTTTATTTTCCACTCATCTTTGCTCTGGCACTGCTGAAACACAAGTAAATTGAATGGGTTTGCTAGTTTGCGCACCACATTTTTAGCGAAAATTACCTCACGAACAAATTACGGGACTTCTTATTAATATTACTGCAAATACATTGTCGACACGATAAGGGGACACGACTACATTTATTTGGAATTTTTGTCGTGACGTCATATATGAGATTCGACGAGTTCGTCACATTACCCTACTCGTCAAATTACCCTACACTCCCCTACCCATTACTCGTAGAGTAAAAGGGTAGATTGTATTCGTGCAAAAGTATGTAACAGCTAGAAGGAGCATTTCCGACCCTATGAAGTGTATATATACTTGATTTGGGTCACTAGCTGAGTCGATATAGCCATGTCCGTCTGTCAGTCTGTCCGTCTGTCTGTCCGTATGAACGCTGAGATCTCGGAAACTATAAAAGCTAGGAGATTGACATTTTGCATGCAGATTCTAGGAGTTCCTACGCAGCGCAAGTTTGTTTCAAAAAGGTGCCACGCCCCCTCTAATGCCCACAATCGCTTATATACGATTTCAAAAATTTCAATATTTCGGAAAAGTAAAAATGTAGTTTTATCGTGTTTATCAATACCTATTTTTAAATCGGACCATTCATTCAAAAGTTACTGCAGATCAAAGTTTTTTTCTCATTCTCCTTCGCACTCCCTTTAGCTGAGTAACGGGTATCTAATAGTCGGGGCACCCGACTATAGCGTTCTCTCTTGTTTTTATTTTGTAACATTTAAAACTTTTTCTTAAAACAAAAAGTCAAATTCAAAAAAAAAAAAAAAAAAAAAAACTTATTTGATTTCTTCAGTATAAAAACGCAACCAAAAACAACGACTAGCAAAACTAACATTAAAAACCTTGTTCTTGAAAAAAAAACATTTCCGGACAAGGCATGATTCAAATTTTTTCCAGATAAAGCCAAAAAAGGACAGATCTGTCCGGAAAAAGGACAATATATATGTATACCCAAAAAAAAATACGAAAGTTTACAGTTAATGAGCGTTGTATTAAAAGTAAACTACAGCTAGTGTTAAACTGTCAGTATTAATTTAAAACTAAATAATGTAAGGAGCAGACTCAATAGTGTTAAGTTTATGTCCTGAGTTTAATTTCTATACCGAAGTTTTCGGTTTTCGTTCCTGGTGTGAAGCCAGGATGCTCTGGCTTGAAACCTGGACATTTCGAACAGAAAAAGTGTTACCGCTTTTTAATGCTATTCGGACGCGTTAGTATTTTAAGGGCTTTACATTAGTGTAATTTGTAAACGACGCTGCGGTCTGTTTAAGGTTTGTTTGTGAAAATTACTTGTGAAAATTTTAATATTTGCTTATTTGAAATGTAAGTACATTAAAATTGTGTCTTAGTGCATAACTAATGAGTAAATTCTTTTCTTTTTACTGACACCACCTTGAATTGCGCTTCAGATGCCGGGAAACTAAGGATCTTGCAATTGGCTTGCATTTTTTCTGCGGCCAGCGCAATGTTGACTTCAATATCAGCGTCCTCGACCAAGCTTCGGTATTCATCTGGACGGCGTTCACTCTGGAAATGATCACCGACATAAGCGGTAAAAAGGCTGCATTTGCCCAAATATGCATACATACGTACATATTTTGTACATGTATTGTATTTATGTTTATTTGTTAAATTAAAAATTACCTTCAGTAATTTATAAAAATGTAAAAAATAATTTTAATAATATATGAAACAACATTTTTTGAATTTTGTCTCTTTAATACGGGGTATAATATTTATACTGGCATTATACTAAATAGTTTACAAAATAAACTAGCAGCCCAAATTTCAGTACACTGAGTGAGTATAAACTGTATACTCGTTAGTTTAAGCTTGACAACTTCGAAAGTTTCATTTTTATACTTTCGAAGTCCATTAGTTTAATACTCAGAGTTTCGAGAAATTTTTGACACTCAATAGTTTACTTTTAATGTAGAAATAGTTTAGTTTCTATGATCTTTTTTTTTGGGTGTATGTATATATTTATGTACATGGGTAAAACGCGAATGGTTCAGAATTATAAAAGTAGAACTCACACGTGTTGTCCGCTTCACATACAATGATCGGTTTGCCACGGCAAACGGCAGTACGTATTTACGTGTAAATAATGTTTTTTTAATACTTTTAGACACTACTCCCAATCAGATTGAGGCATGTTTCAATAAGTTTTTGAGGCGACCAGACATAGCCATCATCTTGATCAATCAAGTGTACGCGGATATGATTCGTCCCACTGTCGATGCTCACAATCTGGCTGTGCCCACTGTGCTGGAGATTCCCTCGAAGCAGCAACCCTACAATGCCTCCAAGGACTCGATTCTGAAGCGGGCACTAGTGAGTTGGCCAGCGGCGTTAGCCGGGTTACCCCCATATTTCTGGCATTCCTTCCATTCCTCCCCAGAGCGTCATCAGTCCGCCCGAGCGTCGCCACTAGCGGCTCAACTTTGGCAATCAGTTTTGGGATCGAAATTGGGGTTTAATGAAAGATTTGCATAGTTCTCAAATACATTCCAAATGCCAATGCCAGTGCTACAAAGTCGTTCCAATTGTTCTCAAAAAAGATACCTACGTGCATATATTCACACAGAAATGATGGGAGAAAATAAAGCTTATACGTATGTACATCAGGCAACTTTTCAGCTTTTGCGTTTTAAGGAAATTGCCAAAAAACTGCAGGGGCAACAATCTGAAAAGAGGAAAACAACAAAAATGCGTTGCGCTTGCAACAAAATTGAAAACAGCAACCACACAAAAACAAATACAAAAGAAAGAAAAGCCATAGCAAAAGTAACAACAAAGTGAACGAAAACGATACAAATAAGCGCTGAAATGCCAATACATGGCCAAAATGCAAGAAGAAAACCAAACCGAATAAAACCAAATAAAACAAAACAGCGAACCAAAAAGGCACAACAGAGGACTAACAAAATAAAAACTCTTAAAAAGACAGCACAATTTACGTCGTCTGGATGGATCTGGACCTATTTGCAGGGAAAGTCGGGGAAAAGCGACTTCTTACGGGCTGCTTAGCGCAACAAAAGCATGCGAAAACAATATTTGAGCAAAGTATTTTGCGCTAACTTTTCGCACCAAGAAGTTGGCGCCGAGAATGCATTCAGAAACTTCTGCTCCAGTGACAAGTTTGCTGCAACTGGAACCGAAACCAGCCAGAAACGGAGGAGGATGTAGCCCTGGTGGCTCCACAAAAGCGCAGCCTATAAGCAGGCAACTCTCCGGACCTCCAACACTCCAAAGGCCGCCCGAAGCTTTGCTATAAAATGCTTAAAACTTGGTCAGAAGGCAGCCAGAAAATGAATTTACAGACAATTGCCATAGAGTTTCTCGCTCCTATTCGGGTTGGAAAGCATAAAATTAAACATTTAAGAATTACCAATAAAAACTTTTATTTTTGTTGATCAAGAAACATGTAGAAATAGACATCTTGCTTTATTATACCCTTGCAGAGGGTATTATGATTTCAGTCAGAAGTTTGCAACGCAGTAAAGGAGACGTGTCCGACCCCATTAGCATCACTAGACAAGTCGATCTAGCCATATTCGTCTGTCCGTCTGTTTCTTCGCAAACTAGTCTCTCAGTTTTAAAGCTATCAGGCTAAAACTTTACCAAAAGTCTTCTTTCTTTTGCAGGTCGGAACGAGCCGGATCGGACAACTGTATCATATAGCTCCCAAATCAATAACCTGGAATATAAACATGTAAAAAAATTATATATTGGGTGTTTTTTAACGTATAACCTCCTACTTATGGAAATGCCATTTTTTATCCAATTTTATATACGACTAATCTAATCTTCTAATCTTTTCTCATTCGGCCCGCCCTAGCAAACTATTCCAGCCTTTTTCCCTTTACAGGCATTGCATCTATTGCAGCGTGACGAATGAGAAAAGATTAGAAAGTCTATTTAATGACGAGTGTAATAATTTTTCGTCACAAATGTTGATATCAGAACTTTTGTATGTTGAAGGTGCGGTCGTCACTAGATTTTTACATCGTTAAGAGGTGTTTTTATTTGATATCAGAAGTTTTTGTTTGTTTACATTTGCTCTCATAGGAGCTAATATATACATTTAAATTTAAATTGGTCAATCATAATTTTTAAACTATTGTATTTTAACAAATTAAGTTAAAAAGGCGTTGAAGTATTTCAAAATACCTTTTAAACGAGGTATAGGCCATTTCTGTACCTTTAGTAGTGTAGAACTTACAAACTAACGAAATTTAGCTATTTTTAGCTTTTTCCCGCTAAAGTAGCGGCTTTTTCCAAAAGTCGTAAAACAAAAGATTCCTATATGGAACTCTTAAGTGCAAATTTACTGATTCCATGACCCTAAAATACAGTTCGGATACCCTCCCACAAAATTCAATACTCAGGGAGCGTTAGTTGTTCTGAGCTGGCAAAAGTGGCTATTTTCGTTTCTGAATAACTTTTAAACGCGATTTTTTACATAAACATGATATATACCAAAATTTAAGGAATCTCAAGGGCTATACAGTTTAAAGTTGTAAGGAAAATCGTTAGAGCCGTTTTTGAGAAAATTAAAAAAAAGCTAAAAAAATAAGTTTAAACAAATTTTCTTTTGTTCATATCTTTTTAACTATTACATTTACACAAATTGCATATAGCAGGCGTTTATAGCATTTAAAAATACCTTTCAAACGAGATGCAGCACAAGTCTGTGGCTTTAGTAGTATAGTTACGGCTTTCCGAATTTTAGCTATTTATAACTGTTTTCCCGCTAAACTAGCGGGTTTTTCCAAAAGTGGTAGAACAAAAGTTTTTTATATCGATGTGATGAACGTCATATCAAATTTTCAGAACTTAAAAAACATATTTTGGACAAACTGACAAACTGACAAACAGAATTAAATTTTCATTTTGGGAAGAAGAAGAAAATCTTATTTTGGCTATAACTTTTGAACGGAGAGTCGGATTTTGACAAATGACCCCTCATTCGACGAGTATTTTCAAAAGGAATACAACTAAAACATTGCGAGGGGGCATTTATCCCCACCGGCCCCAACAGCTCCAAATTTCGAAATTTTCACTTTTTCACTTTCACCGCTCTCTCTCCCTAGCCAATTGATTTTCTTAAAGTCTTGGTATGCAATCCTGTTAGTTTTCGCAATACCTTTCGATAGGTGTATTATTCAGTAGATTTTCATTTCTTCGTGTATGTATAGTAGTCGCCTTCGCACACTCTCCTGGTGCGCTTCGTCACTACATGGACTGCCGTCCATAGTGATTAATCGGGTAAACTTTTAATGAAACGTACGATTTGAAATTTTGTTTTTAAATGACCATAGTTTCTAAGATGTCTTAGATTACGCCACGTTCTGTGTGTCGTTAACTACACTTTCTAAATTATTCTCATTAGGCACGATGTAATAATATATAGCTATTTAGGTAAGAAGCTGTACGATATCAATAAAAGATTTTAAAAGTGAAAAACTTTAGAAAGTGTATTTAAGTAATGGATCGTATAATACATTTTCGTCACAAAAGTTGATATCAAAACTTGTGTATGTTGAAAGTCGGATAGTCACTGTGCGTTGGGGGTAGAAACTAAACGAGCCGGAAAGCTAACTACGCTCAAGATATTTATTTCTTAAATTTAGAAATCTCGCCTTTGAATTGGACAGCCGTTGTAACTTAAATTCCCTTTTAAATACAGAAAATTTGTAGATTTAAAGGCAAATTTACGAAAAACACAACATATTTATGTTTACTTGCAAAGGTTGGCGATTTAAAGGCGAGATTTCCAAGTTTAAAATAAACAATTCTAAAATTCTAGGTAGTTTTGTTACGTACCATTCTGCTGGTTCCGAATTAAAAATAAGTCATTGTTGAATTCAATGCCATTACCAACATCTCATAATTATTCTTACCTTTCCGCGAAATTTCACAAGCTGGGCATATCCGCTAAATCTTTATAATGAATTATCGCATTGTGAATTAATGAGCTGTGACGATTGGGAACACCGAATTGGCTCGTTGTCAAAAATTTGGACACGTAGTACTTGCCACCCACCTCGTTTGGTACAGGCAGGTTTTGACAACAAAATGGCGTGGAGCATTTAGGACCTAATTAGCCGCACATGCCAGTCACACTGGGCGGGTGTACGCGGCGTATGCTGCAGTTCGGCTGTCACCTGCCAAAAGCATTCAGCAGAGGCTAACCCTAGCCAACGTCTGCCAGTAAGAGCTCAAAGAGCTAATTGAGACTTACGAGCTGCATCATGGGTTTTTAATTTCTAGATGTATTAGGATTACCCCTGGAGCGGCAAAATATCCTTTCTATTGCTATGTAAAAATAATTACTACATATTTCATGGGCTTATCACATAAAAAGAGCAGCCAAGTTATTTATATGGTAATTATATACTTATAAATGAAATTATACTCGAAAAATAAAAGAGAATACGGTTTCGTTTGAAAGAATTTAAAAGTTAGAAGGAATCGTTTCCGACCCTCTAAAAAATATATATTCGTGATCAAGATCACTGGCCGAATTGATATAGCTATGTCTGTCGCCTGTCCGTCCGTATGAGCGCTTTGATCTCGGATAGTAGAAAAGTTAGAAGTTTAAATCATGTAAATTTTAGGTATTCCTACGCAGCGCAATTTTGTTTCATCTCAGTGCCACTTCCTCTTTCCCTAGAGTTCAATATCGTTGTATGTATAAACTTAATCAGGAGTGTCACGGAAATTATTTCCAAGCGAAATCCGTTACAGTTCTTACGTACATCAATTAACAAAACCAACCGTTTTTGGTTAGATGCGATTTTTGTAATACTCCAAATATGCCCATTTAACATTTGGAATACATTTAATTGTTTATTTGTATTTCTAGAATATAGATCACTATAGGGTAATTCCACGTGAAACGTGTGGGACATCTTAATATCTTTCCGAAAAATATTTTTATAAATTTTTAATTTTTAAATTAACTATTTTTTAAGGGAATTTTAAATTAAAAAAATTGTATACGCCGCACACTGGGCCAGAAAGTTAATTTTTTGGCCAAAAATCTGTAATTTCCCTGCAGGAAACGGAATCAGTTTTGGACTATTAAAATACTAGTTGGGTCAAGAAGGTTAACTAGTTCAAGTTATGTCCATTTCCTTGTAACGAAGTGGTCCATTTTTCATATGCTTGTCGTCGGAAACAACTAGTCCATTTGCTACTAGTTTTGCACTAGTGACTGTTAACCAATTTACGATTACAGCTGTTAAACTACACTAAAAAAAATATTTTCACGAAAAAACTAAAAATTAATCTCTAAACCATCAAGTGATTGGATTTCACTAGTACTTGACGATGCCTAACTTGACGCTCCCCTAATTTAGTATCCAACTAATAGGCGCGGTTCTTAGAGAATTTCTGATAATTATTATGTAATCAAATACAGTAAATGATAATTAAATGGAATTAAAAGAAACTTACTTTTTTTGAGGCAAGTCGCCCTCTCTAGGACTTGAACCCGGGACCTTTGGATTTGTAGACACACTAACTGATTGAG